CCACCACACACAATGATACAGGACTTTGTGTGAGCCAGTGGTTCTTGTTTCGTAGTCAAACTATGTTCTTCTCAAGGTATATCAGGGACACAGGTGCAAAAAAAGAAAATCTTTGATGTTTTTCTCTTTTCTCATAAAGCCTACTGAACTTTCTCTGTTACTGGCGACCCATTGGACAATCAGGGAGTGTTTCTCCAAGGTTAGTTACCACGTACTTGAATGAGCTCATATTTCAGGGACACCGGCCTTTTGCCTCTGAACACAAACTATTAACAAAACAGATGTTTGAAACAGGACCAGCATCAGCAATGAATGCCTCCAGATGTTTTCAACTGTTTTCTGTTTCATCAGCTGGAGTTTGATTGATCCTCAACAGCTAAAATCATGGATTGTGAGGGCTACTTCACACAAAGACCAAACACATCTGACAAGATCCAGGATAGGTTTTTGTTTTGTCTATACTTTTATAGATTACATAAAAAAGAGCAATGGGAAGGAGTTTCTATGGCGACTACCGAGACACAACAAAGTGATAGAACAAAGGAGAAATGACATTCTGGTTTACACTCTGTTTACACACATACATATGAAATACACTAATGCATTTATGGAGAGATGTCAGAGTGCGGCTGTTACACACTGGGCAAGAGCTATTGGGGTTTCAGTGCCTTGCACAAGGGCACCCCGGCATACTTGGGAAGTGGCCTGGCAACTCACCAGCTACCAGACCAACTTCACTATTTTGGTCCTCACCGGCGAGCCTCCAGTCCAGTTCCCAACCCAAGTCCTTACCAAGAGGTCCAGGACTTTATCAGATAAGTATAGCATGTTTCCCCAGACACTTGATGATATTGACACAAGATCAAGTTAACAAATGTAGGAGTTTGTTACTGCTAGCTGAACTTTCAGCGTAGGCCCCTCGTCCACCTGGCTGTGCGCTCAGGAGTGCTTGCATGAAGCGTTTGTGCGCTGAATTTAAAAGCGCTGCACATCTGTCCTGTCTCTATGACAACAGTCTGTTGACAACGGTTACTGTGTGACCGATACAGCTCCGTTTATGCAAGTTTAGTATTTCAGATTGTTTATTTCCCGATCAGACACAGCGCAAAGACGATGTGGGAAAAGAGTGGCGGTGACTTCAACAGAGCCTTTCTGAAAAGTTGAAAAAGATTTTCAACTCGAAGCGGCCGGAGTAACCGCACAAGAAAGGCAGAGCGCCCAGAAAAAAGATGATGGTTCTCTGCGCTTTAGTCCGGGCTACCGCCTGCTGCTGCACATGCTCTCTACTCATTGAAAACAATTGAAAAAGATGGTGAAGCAAAGAAAAAAAAACGCAAGGTGGACAGAGGGCCATACTCTGGACACAGACCAGTTTAAACAACATTTATATCTCTTTGATAGCATAAAACTGTTTGTATTGAACAGAGTCTAGGACGAGTCTTCCCTTAATGCATACTCTAATATTATGTAACAAAAGTTTGTAAAGCATTTCTCCACTGTCCATCAACTCTCATGTCCATATTTGTATGTCTGTGCACATTAAGCACCATGCAGCTAGAAGGCCCATCCCCTGTGATGGATCTCAGAGTGACAATCTTTATTTAGCCTCTGGGAAACTGAGCTCTCCTCCTCCTCGTCAGCACCCCCCCAGCCCCTTATCTGCTCTGTTTGTTTTTCCGTGTGCTGAGAGAGAGAGAACCGATCAATGTAGTGAGTTATGAAATGACAGTGGTGCTGCTGAAGGCAGTCTCTCAAACTCTGCCACAACAGACAGACTCTCATTTGCCCCCTTCTACCTCCTCCTCCTCCTCCTCCTCCTCCTCCTCCTCCACCACCACAGATACACCACATAATCCATCACTCATCTCTGTCTATTAGCCCTGTAACCACTGTCTGTCTGACCGGCCCAACAACTCTGACAGCAGGATTTTACTGATACAATCCTTTGTTTCTCTTCCATTACAGCCTTGATTGACAGGTCGGTCACTTGTTACTTTAGGATAAAACTTACAAAGTTATCTCTATGAAGCACCGACTGGTGGATTCATTGATAATTAAAGTAACACTCCTGCTCTTTAATCATCATTTCTGCAATCAGTTGTTCATGACATCACTGATTTTGGTGATAACATGCAATTACATGCTGGTGGTCAATCAAACACCACCAGTAAGAAGGTGAGTGATATAGTAGTCAGAACTTTTCTACACGTACTCTTTGTAGAAATGTTATTCATTTCTTATAGTGCTTTCACACTTGCACAAAACTCCTGAAAAACTCCTGAAGTTTTCAGGGTGAGCTGTATGTGTGAACACAAACAGCTGAATTTTTCACTCTGACTTTATCTGGAGTCTCTCCTGCCAGCCCCCTGGTATTTTTGCTGCATTACGTTGTCTGTTCTCCTCCCCTTCTTTTGTTGATATGATTCTGTGAAACTACACGTAGCATCGAAATAAATGCAGATATTCTCTCTACTGCGTCGTACAGCGGACTCCGTTGCGTCATCCGCCACTTCCATGTCATTCTTTTTCTGTCATGATTTGTCTCAGGATGCTGGCCTGCTATCCCACAGGGATGGTCTCCCTCTGTTAGGTGCATGTGTGAACAACCAGATCAGGAGGATTTCAGAGGCAGTCCTCCGGAAATTCTCTAGAATCTTTTTGCATGTGAAAACTGCCAATGTCTGGATTTCATGCCAGCAGTTTTCTGTTGACTTTGCCACTTTACACTGAAGTCAGCAGCTTAATAACAATAGGTTGGTTATTTTGTGAAAAAGGTTCTTGCATGTCATATGATTTACTTTTATATTTGAAGCATTTACATGAATGGTTTGATGGGCAGAATGATTGAATGTTCAAATAATTGGAGGGGAACATATATTTTCTCAATGAGCAACCAAAATAAGAGTTTCATTTTCGATAACACATTCGGTCGGATTATGAATCTCTTTAAAAGAAAGCGAGACACCAAAAAAGTATTCAAACTTGTATCCTTCCATGTAAATCTTCTTTCTAAACTTACAGTATTTATTTTTACATTTTCATACAAAAATCTAAAATGGTTTTCTTTTCCATCTTAAAAACTGAATGATTCATTAAGACATGAAAGGTCAAACTTTTTCACTTAAAACCAGGAGGGGGGGGGGGGGGTCAAGACAACTGAGGGGAGAAATAAAAGTAAAATATTACACGCTACAGTGAAGACTTTCCAGAATGTCTCTCAGATAAGAGGATACTACCTGGCTGTAAGACGAAGCCATTAAAGTTTAATACAGTCTACAGTCATTTACACTGGGCAGGAAGTCTCCTCCTCTGACAACTTGTCATTTCTCCATTTTATTCGGGCAGTTTGGAGGGAAGATTTGGAGGTCCTGGCCACTGTGAGAAATGTCTGCCATTGCTGCCGTGATGAGAAGTGACTGGAGAGTTCTTAGATTTATTAGCGCTCTGTGAGCTGGTGTCATCAGAGATTACGCCCCCTATCCTTCACCGTTCCACCGACACGTCAACCATCGAATTTCAATTTCCCTGCCGAGAGGATGGGAAGGCTCTGGCTGGCGACCCCTGCTCGTGACCCTGGGGTTTGACGATGGATGGGGGAGGTGGAGGGGGGACAGATACGGGATGCTCATGAATTAGGGATGACTTCAGCGGTGCGTTCAACTTTGGCCGTCCTTCCTGCCTGTATCGCCACAGAGAATCTCCCTGATAAATGGGCATCAAGGCGAAGGAAGACTGCTCTTCCTGGTTAGATATTCAGAGAAACTCATGGTCAAGTTTAGCCCTGTTTAAGCCATGTTTAAAACATGCACCTTGGATTCAGCCCGCTCATTGGCTGGTTAAGGACCAACCTAAGTTTACACCGGGCATTTACATTTAAGGTATATGCATGTGTAAGCGTTTCAGGAGTTCTACATTTGGTTTAAAGATACAACTCACATGTTAAGACATATTGGCCTCACTAGATGAATGAATTTAATTTCTGATACATGCAAAACAAGAAGTTCGGTTAAATGGTTCAAATATCCCTCTGATGGCAAAGTAAGATGAAATTCAATCAATCTGTTATATTGATGCTTGGTCGGGGCTCAATCAATAAACTGGTACTCTTTAAAGGGAGTCAAACCCAGTGCAGTGCTATCCTGTTCCAGTTTTTTTGGTTTGCTTTTGTATGTATTGGATGCAAAGTGTAATAAATGCTTTTTGGTAAGAGCCCTTGTAAACACTGGTGAGGCTGTTGTTACATTACAAGAGATCAATTATGCTGATCCATATTTAATACATACCGCTACAATGTTGGATGTCTATACTAAACCTCTGTAAAGTTTTTTTTTTAAACACACGACATACAGTTGGTGGTGTAATCTCAGGACGTGGTTTTCCTGCTTCTCTAAACGAGACGTGACAAGAACTTTGCGAGACTTGACCAAAACGTCAGGAACCTGATGTCATTCCTGGCCGACGTATTAGAGCAAAGCATGGAGTGAAGTTGTAGGACACGCCCACCGGGAAGCTCACTCACATTTCCCTACGGCTGCAAACAGAGCTCGCTCATCGGAGGAAAGTGGAAACGTAGGCATGCAGGTCTGAGAGAGACGGCAGCTGAAATGGACCGTTTGAGGCAGAGAAGGATTTTACTGACGCCAGTATCAGATCAATAAGGACGCTTTTGAACTACATATCTCGCGACGTTACTCAATAGGGGCCGCAGACGAAGCAGCGGGAGCAACTTGGGGTTAAGTGTCTTGCCCAAGGACATGTTGCTGCAGGAGCTGGGGATTGAACCCCCGACCTTCCGGTTGAGAGACAACCGATTCTTTCATTTCATGTAGAGCACAACAGAACATTTTGGTAGACGTTGCAACATGCTGAGCAAACTTTTGAGAATAGCTGAACTTTTTCTTTCATTGATTTCATGAGGGCTCAGGAGTAGAAGCATGAGCTTGATTCTTACTCCTTCATTCCAACAATCAAATAACTCCAGTATGTAAACATGTACTCACCATCCATTCTGAGATGATTATGTCCACCTTCTCCACGGGGAGGTTGATGTCTTCTATCCGGCCTTTTATCAGGGTGATCTTATCCTCCAGTTTGTTGGATCTGTTGGCAACATGCAAGAGTCAAAGGACTTATACACACAGCTCATGTCCATTTTTTTCTCACCTATAGATCAAACAGACGAGTGGTTTAAGAGTCAGCTTTGTGGTTTTGCAATAGTGTGCAGTCACTGTCCACAAAGGGGGATTAGTACAAAGTGCAAACCCTAACCTTTTCATGGAAGTCTGTCATATTTATAAGATGATGAATCTATTTGTTTTGCAGCAGAACAACTTCTTCACACAACATTTGAGTGTTATCAACTTTACGGTTAATGTAGCGACTTTGTCTGCAATATTTACCGACTATGACATACAACAGAAAGAGAGCAATAATGATGAACGCTGATATTGCTTTGAAGTCTTTATTCAGGTCCCCTGCTGATGTAAGTCTTTCAGGAAATGCATATTGTTTAGCTACTAAATGCTCTGTCTGCTGATTTTTATGCGTGGCACAGAGCATACTACTACGATTCTGAAAAACTAAGGCATCTAAAAACTGCTGAATTCTGCAGGTAGAAATTAGGTGGATGAAAACTGTGATAGTCAGGGGTCTGGGGACAGAGTCCCGAGAGGTGGGACTCTGCACCAATGAAGTCTGATAACCACTCTAGGGGGCACCCAATTATCCTGAACTATGATTGGCTATCCTCCAGTCAGAGCACGGACCTTTTGTGATGTCTTTTTTATAGCTGTTCCTGCATTTTACTGTAGAAAATGTTCTGCATCATAATTGTATTGTAGATTTCTCATTCTGCAAATAAACAGATAAGTTATTCAAACAAAAAAACCTGCAGGACACTGTATTGCATGTGGATCAGGGCAGCCCCTGGCCAAAGTGTGGCACTAAGTGGAGTTTTTTTGACAGGACAGGTCTAAGATGAACCAGCATATTTACAGGAGAGACATAAAAAAAGAGCGTTTTTCAGCATAGTGGGTGGGTATGTCACAGTGAACAGGAGCGGGAGGGGCAGAGCAAGCAGAGTGTGCACTTGTCTCTCCAAAAATTAATAAATTAATAAATATGGGCCGATTGACCGTTAATATGCCTGGTTGTGATGACTAGGTAAAACTCATGTGGGAAACGCTGGATGGTCGTTACCTTTGTAATATTTATTATCTATATTAAGTTATTGCAGAAAGCAGCTTGATGTTTTGAGGCCCCCACACACGATGAGGCCCCCTGTGCGTTCTGCATGTAGGAAGAGGCGGGCCTGCTCGTGATTATAGTTGACACAAGCAGCCATTTACTACAGATTCCCATTTTAGTCCTTTTCTTTTTTTTTGGGACCAAAGTCAGAGAAGTTTGGAAAATAGTGAGAGCTAACCTGATCAGTAAAGCTGCAGGGTGTAAAATAGAAAATGTTCCAAAAAAGTTGAGGGGGAGCTGCAGAGCTTAACAAGACTTTGCAGGTTCATCACTAGAGAGTCTGAAATTGGGATGATGTGTGCATGTTGACATCGCTGACAATGCTCTGAAGTCACTGAAGCTAGAGTTACAAGTCAAGAACATCAGTCACATTATTACGGACAACCTTTAAGAAATGGTTTTCGAGGGATACTGATTTTGAGATCTGTGAAACATTCTATTTCCAAACATTTTTCGTCAACGTTTCCAATCCGTCATGATATGTAGGTATGAACCAGGTTCTTGTCCATGTACAGTATATTTCCGGTCGTTTCTGCATCGTCGTATGGCGTGTGAAAGTGGGTAGACTGTAGCTGTGGGCCTGCAGAGGTGTCAGGCTCAGGTAAGGACTGTAAGATCAGTGCTGCTGTTTAAATGATCCCTCCTTTCAGACCGGCCAGTCCGGGTATCAATCTCTGTGAATATTCCATTATCATGACAGCTAATGTTACCGAGGACAGAACAATTACTCACAGCGGCCCAGAGTGCATTTCAGTGGCAGCGATCCTTATCTTGAACTGTCTCTCCCCTCTCTGCTGCTGTGCTGCCGCTGCTATCACCTCCTCCCAGAATCCAACACCTACCTCCCGCCCCCACACAAACCCCCCCTTACCCCCCCCCCCTCATCCACCTCCCCCACCTTTCACAAGAGGGAAACACTGTAATCTCATTATTGGGGTAATTTAGAGGACAATGTCAGGGCTCTAGGGAGAGAGAGTCAGTATCTGTGTGCCTTTGTAGGCGTGTGAGTGCTTATGTGTGTGCATGTGTGAGGGGATAGAGGGGGAGAGAGAGAGAGAGAGAGAGAGAGAAAGGTTGCTCATTCATGTCACCAAAACCAGTATTTTTAGATAATTGTTGTCTTTAAAATGAATTGGAAATTGTTTTTATCCTCGTTTTCAGGGTATTATTTATATATAGTAATGTCCCAAACGGCATGCTATACATGTTAGGGCTTTCATACTTGCAGAGAACTCCTGGAACAACTCCTGATATTTCCAGGAGGAGCTACATGTGTGAACGCAAAAAGCCAAATTTTTCACTCAGACTTCACCCGGAGTTTCTCCTGGCAGCCCCCTACTATTTTTTTCTGCTGAGCTGAAGTGAGAACAACAGCAGGATATTCTCTGGAGAATTCACCTCAAGTCAATGGAAGGGGGGAATTAGGTTTTATATATTGTAATGGAGTTATAGAGTGTATGCATGCGACCGCTTCGATCTCAAGCACGGAAATTAAACGGCTGCATTATTTCGCCTGTTCATTAGTATGTTGTTCTCCGCTCTTTTGTTGATAGTGTGATTCAGTTGAACTACACGTAGCAAATAACATACATCAGAGAGTAAAAACAACACAAGCAAGAGTCAGTAAGAGCAACACAGGTGCTAACACGCAGCACACAAAGACAGCTGTTCTTGAGAGCTCTAATCAGCATCACAATCATCCTAAATAACGTCATTATCAAACAAAACTATCTTCATCATCATCAAAATCATTAAGGGTGTAGGTGTTCATAAAAGAGCTGGGTCTTTTTATGAAAACTGCAAAGGGACCCTGCTGATCAAATGGAGTTTGTTAGTTCGTTCCACCACCAGGGGGCGACAGAGGAGAAGAGTCTAGTTAGACACTTAGGACCCGTGTCCACCTAACGTCCATCCTGTCTCTATGACAACAGTCTGTTGACAACGGCCTCTCTATGACCGACACTGCTCTGTTACTAAAGAGCGCTGGTGACGTCGACAGCGGCTTTCTGAAGAATTGAAAGATTTTCAACATGAACGCTCGGAGGGGCCGCTGAAAAGACGCTGGGCGTTGCGGTTTCTCTCCAGGCGGCCGCTTTCTGCTGTAAACGCTCTCTCCTCATTGGAAACAACTAGGTGGACACTAGGTGGACACGGGGGCCTCAGGGACTTGTTGTGTAATTTGTCACTCTTTCAAACTTTCACATTTTACTCATCTTTGTCAAATTATCTTTTCCTTTCATCGCTTTGTTGTCACAGTCCAAAGCGTTCTATTGGACAATCCATCAATTCCAGCCATTCAAAAAAAAAAAGAAAAGAAAAAAGAAAGCTATTTGGACATCGTCCATTAAGGAAGTGACTGTGAAGTCTCATCCAGCTTTTCATTTAAACTTCGGCGACGGTGAGGAAACAGGAGATGGATGCAGCTGCTTAACCAACAGGAGCCAATTTAATTACAATCCTGATATTAACATCACGAGGAAGTGATGGACGCACAAAGGCCAGCAGCAGAGCAGCATGCACACACACTGAGGAATAAGAGCCGTCGAATCACAACCAAAGCAAACGATTGATTCAAAGCGACCCAGGAGCTTAGTTTGAGTGTGTATTACAGTGTAGGATCAGGAGTGGGGGTGTTATATATCTTTCTGTAGCTGAATCTTCTGGTGAACCTGCCATGCAGCTTGCATGCCAACGCTCTCCGACAGCGAGTCAGTGGGCTGTAAAATTAAACGTCCTTTTCCTTCAGCAAACCCTGATGTTTTGCTTATACGACACTATCTTACATAACTGTAATAATGGCAGCCATTATGGCCCCTAACTCAAAAATGCATTTCAGAGGCGGGGGTGTGATGGAGGAAGTGGTCACAGGTAGACGAAGGGGACAGTGGAAGCTCTGGTGGAGGTAAATGACTGCACTGTGGAGAAACAGCTTCTCCAGAGCTGGAAACACAGTAACTGAAATTGGACAGAGGAGTTTATTAAAAATACCAACGGGGGGTCATCTACATGTTTGAGAATGAGTGTGTGTGTGTGTGTGTGTGTGTGTGTGTGTGTGTGTGTGTGTGTGTGTGTGTCACTTTGTGACTTCAGGCCTCGGACTGAAGCTAGCGCAGCGGAGAAGAGGCGAGGGGTGAATGAGTCAGACTGCAGGAGTAAATTATATGCGTTATGGCCACAGCGCTGACAGCAGCTCTATTGAAGTCAACCAGCTGCAACAAATAAAAAGGTTGCTAGAGGTCACACAGACCTCTAGTCCCAGAATCCTCTGCTGCACAATAAGTGAAGACGGCCAGTGTTCTCTTTCTACTGTTGAAACTAGGGATGTGAATCTTTCAAGATCTCACGATTTGATTGATTCAAAATCAATGTTTTTTATTGAAACTGATTCATGATTTATTTCAGGATTTACTACACTCTGCTGTGAACCATGAAATTACCAATTATCTGACATTAAAGAAATCACAATAAAATGTGTTCAAGATATTAAAGATTTAACATTTTTATCAGCTGGTTGCAATACTGCAAATACACAGAGGAAAACCTAAAACAAAGATTACATTGATTTATGCTTAACTTGCTTTATTTTTGAAACAATGACATGATCATAAATCTAAAGCCTTTAAGAGATGATGCTGTAGATCAACAGATCTGTGAAATGAAACAGACGGTGGATCCTGCTATTTTACGTCGTGTGTGTGTCTGCTGTTGTTGGCTCTTAGTTATTTCTCTAATTTCCACTCCAGGCGGTGGTGTATGATGTGAGCTCGGGCATTTAAATTGTCCTCAAAGTACTTTGATTTCATTTTGCAGAACTTTTATAGTGATATGTTTGGCTTCCTCTTAGAATCTAAAGTGCACCCTGAAGACGGCACAAGGTGAATGTCTTAATGGTACAAAATATAGCAGTATGTTACTATGTGGGACGCAGCCATCCATTATCAACACTGAGAGCTGGCTGGTGTTAGCAGCTGAACTGTCGACACAGGACCGACACACCACATGCTGCATCAGAGCACCAAGGAAGCTAGTGAGGGTGCACAGAAGAGAATGTCACTCGTGGGTTTGATGTGCTCAAACTACCTGCTGGTGAACATTTTTAAAGGAAAGTATGTTTTCGATACTTCGATACGAATTGAAACAGTTCAGAATTATAGAAATGAAAAATTGCAATTCTGACGTGAATACATTTTTTCCCACACTCCTACTTGAAACCTCTATGACTCGCAAGTGAGCTCAACTTACCGGACTATGTCCATGGCCTGATAGATGATTTCTGATTGGTCCACTGCTATGACCTTCTTGGCCCCAGATTTGGCAGCAAACATGGACAATATGCACGTTCCGCAGCCAACGTCGAGCACCACCTGAAGGAGAGGTGGAGGACGGGGGGGGGGCGGTGAGACAAAGGGTTATTAATCCAGGACTCACAAATACAAACAGCTCAGGATATGAATGTACAATTTCAACATTTTAAGAAAACTGCCACAGGGAAAAAAATCATTCTCAGCCCACATAGCTCTCAGTTATACAATTCATTTCTAATAAATTTGAGATTTAATCTTGTAGTGGCTCTTCCATAGTTTGGCAGTTTTAATGCTTTAAAGAGGAGCCACATACATTACACTGTTAAAGCTTTATTCATTTCAAAGCACGACTTTTCAGAGACAGACTTTCTTTGGATGCAGCAGCTGTCATATCGACTTTTTTCTTGGGTTTGCTTTCTTGATCCTTAAGATTCTTAACTTTAAAAAAATCCATGTTTCAGGATCTAGAACCAGTAGGTGAAGAGCAGTCCAATGACATGTTATCTTGCCGTATAAAATAAGACAAGAAGGAAAAAGTATGGCGACAAAAAAACAAGCAATAACTTTCGTGAAGCCTTGAGTGCTGGATGGAAATTACTTTGAAGGATGGTACAATCTTCAACTTGCCAGAGACCTCCAGCTGCTTCCTTATCAAATACAATCTCGGAATTAAGCCATTCAAATTGATGTTTTTGTCACGCTGGGCTTCCCCAAGTCCTCATCATCTTTACTTATTTAAGTGCTTCCGAATCCTCGGGACAATCAAGAAACTTTTCCACTCAGGCTTTTGTTGCTGTCGACTGAGTTTTTAATCACCTCTATTTCAGGTTCCCATAGGTTGCGGTTAATTTGTTCATCTTCGCGCCCCCCCCGACTGGTGTTAAATGACCGTGGCACAGCTGCGATGACTATACGCCCCAGATATATGTAACACTGTTTATGTGCCTCTCTATTTAAGGCCACTTTAACATCTTTGTTAGTATCCCGCTGCCTTTATGGGTTCACAGAGGGTCGCCCAACACGCTGCTGACTCAGCTCCGTGCTCCCATCTCAATCTCTTTCGGCTGCCCTACCATCTTACTGAAACAAGAATATCCGCTTTGTTCTCCATCTGACGCTCCCTGTAGAAGGTGACACTTCCCCTCTCTGCTGAATGTTTCGCCCTGACAGGGATAATGTACGTTCCCATCAACACAGCCTGCCTCCCTCCTCTGCAGCCTCATCCCAGCACTAACCAGCAGCCGCCCATATAATGGATGGTCATGATCCAGGCCGCTGCTTCCTGCAACTAAATGCAATGGAAAGGAAATGGGTGGGGGTGAGTTGGAAGGGTTTTTGGGGAGATGGGGTGGAGGGGGGGGTTGTTATGGGTTCGGTTGGTGGATTGCATGTGTCTCTTATCAGCACCCAGCAGTCGACATTCGAGGTGCTAATAAAGTCGCGCTGTGTTTTAAATCACACGCCATCGCCTTATTAATGCGTTTCCTTCAAAATGCAACACGCCTAGTTTCTCTTAATGGGCTCGGTTCTCCTGCACATGCTGCATACACACACACACACACACGTCCATGCACATGTATGTTTGCATTCAGTCAGCTGGCTCACCTTGTCTTTGAACACTTCAGGGTTGCGGTACATGAAGTCGCGGTAGCTCTCTGTGCGCACTTTGTCCTGCAGAGAGAATAAACAAACATAAACAACTCAAAGATTGATTTGGCAAAAGAGAAAATAATGAAACATTTTGATGTGAATGACGAGTATTTCAATGTGCTGCAAGGTGTCTTTGTGTTTATGACATTTTGTAGAACATCAGTGTCCCACAAGCTTTATGACTGTGTGTATTTGGACACTTCTGCTGTTATGTGACTTTGAAGTTCACACTTATAATCGCCCCTCTTGGGGAAAAATAAACCCTTATAGCGAGGCATATGAAGTTTTCATTCAAAACCAGCAGATCAAGAAACACAGCGTAGGGAATAATGTGTGCTGTAACTTCAGCTAAGAGGCACCCCAATGTTTTTTATTCCAGAAGAGGTCAAGTCAGGATTCACTAATGAACCTGCCAATCAATTCCACCCACATCCCCTCCTTTCTGTAGAGAAAGCTACAGAGTCTGTAACAATGACAGTAACATGAATGGTTGTAAGATGTAGTGAAATTGAGGACGTTTAATAATTGATTTGAACTGAACCTAGACCTCCTGAATGATATACTTACACAACAGAAGCTTTTTAATAAATCTTTAGTGATGTGAACACAAAGACCACAGAGACTTGTTGATAGTCGAATGCACTCACACGCCTACCTACAACAGTCAAACAAGCTCTGACATTTGAATATACTTAACACAAGGTGTAGTGACTATCCAATAGAGCTGGGAATCTTTGGGTTTCTTATGAGAAAGAGCTGGCTTTAGCACTTAGCAGGGAGTGACCGATTTTTTTTTTTTGAAGTTATGAATCGATTTAAAATCTCAGAAGAGTCTCAATTTTTACATAAAGCAATTTTTTTCCCCCACCTTTACTATCCAATGTCCACATTTCTAAATCATATTTTTAGTCAGCTGCATAGGTGTAAGAGCTCAAGTATACTTGCTTTTGAACCATGCGTATGCGTAGACAACATAAATGTATCTCCTACCTGAAGGCAGAAGCTCAAATTCACCAAACAGAGGATGTGGAGGATACTGTCAGATGTCTTGGGCCTTAGCTGCAGCTCACTACTGAGGCAACTAGCAAAAAAACTAACAAAAAAAAAATCTAATACCAACAGTACTGAAGTGACAAAAAAAGGAAGAGGGTTTTTTTTTTTTCAGATTAATGCTACAAGTTAAAAGTGTTTTAAATTTAAAAAGGAGTGCTATACACCCGACTGCAGAACTCGGAAACATACACCACACACACTGTACTCTCTCTCTCTCACACTCACACACACACACACAGTGCACCATACATCTGACCTGTATAAAACTTGACTACTTTCTACCGCAAAGCCCCTCGCCACGTGCTCTCCGCCCCTCCAGAGACTATGATGGAGTTTACGGCTTGACGCACACACACATGACGCAAAACTTAACAGTGCAAACCTCCAATCAGGACGGCCGACAGAAATATATCTAAGCACTGCGGAAAGTAGAACAGGAAGGGAGGAGACAAAGCGGACCCCCCCCTCTCACACACACACACACACACACACACACACCAACCTCTTTGGGCTTGCTGACACTTTGAGGTTTCAGAGCTTGAGGAGTGTAAAAATTAATTTCCACGTTTCGAGCACGCTGCTGTCTCACATGAGAGCTCATCGCTTTATTGCTGATTTGACACTTTAGAGAAAACGTCTTGTCGTCGGATCAGTGTGTGCACACAAAGACGCTCATTTTCATTTACGTGCTACAGCGAAATCCTTCAGCCAAGACTTGCGCTGATGAACTGGTTTTTGCTCTGCTGTGACACCTAGACCCCGCGGGAATGACTCATGAGACTTTGATGAGACCTGCATGTCGTGTGTGTGTGTGTGTGTTTGTGTGTGTGTGTGTGTGCGTGTGTTTGCACATCTCAGACCTTCAGCATCTCCTCGTGGATGCTGTAATGCCCGTAGGAGCTGAAGTAGGCCTCGTCTTCGTCCTCTCGGAGCTCGGCCACGGTGCCCAGGTTGCCGGATTTGCCCGTCCCTGCGTTCAGCACCAAACCCTGAGCCAGCAGCCTGAGAGAACATCGAAGAGATCTGTTTTAAACTTCTAATATTAGAACACGGGACAAAAGCAGCAACCAGAAAACACAAAAGCACACACAACCTTCATGCAGGACGAAGCAGTAAATGGAGTAGATGGGAGGCATTTATCTTTCTAACACTCTTCCAACAACCCCATCCCAACCCCCCCCCCCCCAACCTCACTCTTTCTGTAATTTTCCTTTATTGCCCCCCGCCTCCTTCCTTCCACCCCTCCTCACTTTAACCTCCATGCTGCAGTGGAATTTTCCCTTCCCTCTTTTATCTTTCCCCTTCCTCCAAACTTCTTCCACAAGGTACTCTAGTAGTTGATGTTTCTGCAAAACAGTGTTCACTGTGTCCCCCTGCTGGCTGCAGGAGGACAGTGCAGGACTAAACTCACACTTCAAGCTCTCATGAACAGATGAACAAAAGAAAAGACTGATCTAAGAGAGGCAAGATAGAAATGAACAGCACTACCTTGGTATTAAAAGAAAAACATTAAAGATGTGACTGACTTGAGTTTGTGTAGGTCATCCATGGCTCGGGCCAGCGCCTCCTCCGAGCGACGAGCTCTCTCCTCAGCGGCCTGTGCCCTCTGCAGCACTGCATTATGGGACTCTCCCCCAGAAGACGGGCACGTAGACAGGACTGACCCCCCAACACTACAGAGCTCCTCAGGGTCTGCCAGAAACACAGAAAAGGGGATTATAATCTAAAATGTAAAACATAAACTGAACATAATAACCGAAACGGTTATTGTCAAAGATTTAAAATACAACACAATCATTCACATTTTGCGTCTTCTGTCACTTATCTTCAGGTTGCTTTTTTTATTCCAAGATATAAATGATGTCACAGTGAATGCAGTGCTTTCAAATGGACACATCGGAGAAGACGCAAATAGACGGATTTCTCCTGCCAGGGTCAATGCTGCAAAATATCAGGCTGGGAGCTGAATTACGTCTGTCACTCTTAAGAGTTCTTTGGGTTTAACTTGGGCTTTTTTGCATCTACATGTAAAACTAAATCCTGCAGAAAACTAAATTGCATTTAAATATAGTGGGAAATAAAAAATCCTGCAGACCGTTTTATAAATAGCTAAATCTGGAAGAGAGAAACGACAGCACAAGAAAAAAAGACGCCTGTATTTTATGTTATGACAGAATAATTAAATAAAAAACTTAAAACAACCACAGAAAACATGTGAGGGCAGAGTAATCATGTTTGGGGGGGGGAGCTGCATACTGAACCTTCCACACCTTTTACGAGAGCTAAGACCATGAGGAAAAAAATGAAACAAACTCCACCCTGATACATGAGAGTAACAGGATATATGTATGTGGGTGAGTTCCAACAGAGGCTCTGTTACTCAACCTGCACCTAACCCCTATACTGAACGTACATCTGTGCTTTCAGGTGATGAGGTGTTTCTGTACCTGTCTGCAGCAGGAGGTCATCCTGTAGGACAGGTCGCAGGAAGTCTTCACTCTCCCAGGGTAAGGGAGCGTCCGGTAGCCCCGTAAGACTGGATGCGTCGCATTTCTTGAAAACACAGATTTGTTTAAACAAAAGAACAACAGCATTAATCTATTTCAGCATTTCCCCGTTTTAAAGGAAGAACGTGCAACATTTTACATGTAAATTTAGCAGAAATCAAAAGTCTCTCTGAGTCATGACTGTCTACAATAAGTGAGAAGCTCGAGTCCCCCCAGCTGTGTTGTTGTCAGAGCCGTGTTTACATCGTGTTTACATGGACGGGACAGCGTTGGTTATAAAGCTGTTTTAGTCAAGGACTAGAGAAAAGAAGAATATAACATACTCACTGATTATTTGGATGTCACATAAGTGTTTTTTTAGATCTCGGTCATTCTTTATAAATTTATGTGCAATATGAAGCTATGAGGTAACTGAAGTGTGCTAACATTAGCCCGCTAACACAACGATGCGGGACACAGGTGATTACAGCTCGAGCAAATGACAATTTTGTGGAGAGGGGTTAGAGGTGTGTCTCTGGAGGAGAGCGGAGGCTTCAGAATAGCGGAGGTGTCGACAAACAGCAGTTTGTTTTGGTTGCATGCTGGTGCTCAAGGGCGACACCTACTGGATCAAAAAGTCCCACATTCTTCCTTTAAAGTTGAGTTACAATATTTGACTCTTCGTGCAGCCATGATAACAGGGTACATGACAAACTAAAAAGAATGTAAAATATACACAATTGAATCTCGTCTGTAGAGGAGCGTACTTACAGTGGATCGTATGAAGTTGATCATTTTAATGTAACCGTAGTCGTCCAAACCTAATGAGGAAAAGAGCAAAGAAACATTTGAAGACTTAGGTTCAGGTTCTTCATAAGAGACACACAGAGAACATGCGTGTGTACTTACTGTGTCGTCTTATCACTTCTACCAGGTCGACTTGGTGCTCAGCTGTGCAGTGCTGCAGGGTGGCAGGCACAGAGCTCAGCAACCTGAAAGACAGACAAGAAAATGTGTTTCAATATGATGTCCAAAAAATTATACATATTCACCATTTGATCTTTAAAAAACAAACAAAACATTATCTGGAAACCACACTCGATTTTAACAAAGAATGAAACCGTAGATATTTCACCCTCATAAGACATTTGTAGCTGAGTTTTAATCTGAAATGTTCTTGTTACTCTCTGTTATTACTACTCTGTTGTTTTTGATTCAGGGAGCGTAGAGTGGGTCGTCTCTCAACCGGAAGGTCGAGGGTTCAAACCCAAAGTCCTGCAGTCGCATGTCAAATTGCCATTGTGCCAGACACTGAATCCCAAATTGCTCATTCTGCTGTGTCAGCGGTGTGTGAATGTACAAGAAAAGATCAGTTAGTCCTGGTGAAAACTTCCTTTGCAGCCTCTGCCATCAGATTGTGAATGTGTAGGTGTGACCTGCGGTTTAAAAAACGCACTTTAAGCAGTCAGAAGACTAGAAAACCGCTTTACAAGCTCAAGAGTCCACTTACTCCAGGGAGTGATACATTTGATTCAAATTTGACTTCTTGAAACAGCATCAGATATAGGCCTAGTATTATCTAGTAATGATGATATAAAAAACAAGACAACATTGAGGTTGAATACTAGAATACACGATTTTTGCTTGGCCACTACTCATACACTTAAGTGTTTATTATTGTGTCACAGTTAAATAAAACAATACATGTGTAGTTAGATTTCAAGTGGTTTTCTACTACTTCAATTCCTCAAAAGTAAACGTGACAACAGCAGTGCATGTTAGGGGAAACCCTGAGACATCCTCCAACTTCAAAAAAGTGAAAGTAAGATCCTGTACATTATTGTATTGACTGGACAAGAGGCATTACATGAGTGACAATAAAGGAGAACAACATGACTGGGATTTCTCACAATATGTATCACTCCTCTTAAGCCAGCATTTCTGAATACTTTTAATTTACATTTACAGCTGACAGTGTTTTTTTTTATTCATTTACCAACCTCAGAATCACAACTGACTCTAATTTCCCTGGTTTCCTGATCAAATTAATTCATCATTTTTTTTTTTGTCAATTTTATTTCATTCCAAAAAAAACAATAAAATTAAGAAAAAACAAACAAACATAAAATCTCAAATTTTGAATGAAAAGGAGCAGAAAGAAGAAGAATCTTATAATATCTGCCCCTCTAATCACTCATATTGTACCTGCTCTATGGTAACCATGGACACGAACAGAGCAGCAAGAGTGCAGGAAGATGAAATGTTTGGGTTACCTGGCAACAGTCTGGTTAAAGTTAAATTGTGAAAGTAGTTGAGTTAAAAAAAAAATCATCTGTTGTTAATTTTTACTAATATGTAAAAATATTGTATAACAAATGTAAACAAAATAACAAAAATAGCAAATGCTTGTATAACTGGAGCAGGCGGCCCCGATACGCCACTCACCTGTCGCAGAACAAACAGGTAACAGGCTGACTGCCCTCTTCCTCCTCCTCCTCCTCCATCCACTGCTCTTCTTCATCATCATCAATGTCTTCATCATCGCCGTCAGAAAGCTCGGGCATCTCCTCTGCAGCTCCATCAAAGCCTGTCAACGTCAAATCATCATCATAACTTCATGTAAAATCTTGGGAGCGTCACAGTTTGTTTAACCTTCACAAAGACAGCGTGTTACTTTTGTTGAAAAAAAAAAAACGTTGCATTAGCGTGACTGTCGTTACAAATGCACTAAGGGCTGTGCGACGTAACTTACGTCAACATTCATAAACTACTTACGTTTGCTTTACAGATTGTTACAAAGCGAAAGGCGCTACAGTTACAGTTTGGGGGTTTAAAATGTACTATTTAGCAAACTCACGTGGGTCTGTGTTTTCTGCCATGATGCCGCCTTGGTTACAGTGGACTTCCTGGTGACGTATGATGACGTAAAGCAAGGGCCGTGCAGAATTGAAGGCAGTTCCAAATTACCACCACAAGATGTCGCCGACGTGCACTTTATCAAGAGGTTTTAATATTCTATTAAAATGACTGTATTAATGCATTGCTTTATCTATATATTTTTTTAGATTTAGATTTTAGATTTGAGGGTGTCTAGAAGAATATTTTATTATTTTATTTTATTATATAATTTTTTTTTAAAGAAGGTAATTTCTTCAAAAATTTTATTTTCTGAATATAGATCTTTGGCTAAGATTATAAGTAGTTTAATGACATATTATAGCTATGATAGCTTTGTTAAAAACCGGTTATGTTCATTACTTATAGCTTCTCTAACAAAGCATTCTTTTAAGATCTTACTGTTTTAAAATCAAAAATATTGTCACTAAAATTTGTGTATTATATATATATACTGTCTACACATTGAAAAAAAACAAAGCTCAAGTGTTTCCAACATACATTTACATAAAGGATATTATTTTATGTATATACTATGTTTGAAATATATTCAAAAATAACAGAGTTTACAGGGTAGTTTCTATCTAAGCCTGTAATTGTAAAGAGCAATTCTTTAATCTCAAGAAATTCAATATAGCCCTTCGGACCACCTTGAAGTCACTTCAAAACAATAGCACCGATTTCAGCGAAATGTCTTGAGTCCCAAATCTGAAAACTCTTTTTGTTCTCTTTCACTGCTGTACTTCTGGCAAGCAAACAACTTATGATACACAGTTTCCAAATTCCCACAGGAGCGTAATCCATCCTGACATTTGTCTAAAATATTTAAACATTTTGCTAGGCCACAGTGGCCCAAACGCAATATGATCATAACAACTTCATCTTTCCTGTTAATCCCAACATGTAACCTCTCCCCTTGCACAGATTCTTGCAAAGAAAAATATGATCTTTCTCTGGCTTCTTCCCTCCACTCCTTTTGCCATTAGTTACCGGTACATATTCTTTAATAATACTAAAACTGGCTTTTGACGCATGGATATAGTTTTAAGCAGGTTTACAGTCTGTGGTTTCGGCACGCTTTTTGTTAAGGCCGGAAGACAAAAAGTCAGGCAGAACCTTTACAGTCTATGGGTGGAACCAATCATCTGTCAGGTAAAGCTACTAATTTGACTATGATTAAGCTTCCTAGGTATTTTTATGGATAGACATCATTAAGGGCCAATAAACCTGGTTTTGCATGCTCTCTCTCATTATCTGTGTTTTGTGTTAGTTGGATTGTGATGAACGTAACGCATGAGAGGGAATTTTGACCGTAAGTATTTTATTGCTGGCTACAAATGGCGCCTGAAAATGGTATGATGCCATTTGTTTTATCGTGGTCATGTGACAGGCAAGTGGTGCCTGATTAAATACAACCATGTGAGACCAGAAAGAATCTAAATTGATGATGAAGTTGCTACTACTTTACAAGAGAACCTGCTTACAGGGCAGGTTGGTTGACATTTTGTTTTACAATAATGGTGCAATAAAAGAATAAAATGCTGAAAACGTTTCTGTAAGACCATTCTTGGGGAACAAACCAAAACAGATGTTTACTCACCAAGGATTTCTGATCAATTCTTTGTAGGAATCAATGTGGCAATGCAAGTGGAAACGAAAACAATAACAAAAATCTTGGCAAGATTAATGTTTTTATTGAAAGTCACACACAAGGGGTAGGCTAAAGGACATTATTTAACAGCTATTGCCATTCATTATGATATTGTCATGAATTCTCTAAACTTGAAAAAAGTGGCACAAGCAATATTGATGTTTGCTAAAGCAGCACTATACCTCCAGACTGATCTGTTTCTGGAGGACTTGGGACAACACTGTCATCTTCTTCTTCTTCTTCTTCTTCTGCTGCTGCTGCTGCTGCTGCTGCTGCTGCTGCTGCTGGTTGTTGCTTTGGTGGAGAGGCTGTGTTTGGTATGTCTGACTTTTGCTCAACTTCGTCCTCAAGGTTTGAGGTTTGAGCTTCAGGCTCTGCATCTTGGATCTTTGTCTGCGTTGGTGGGGCAGACTTCGTGCTCAACTTTTGAGTGGTTGAAGGAACATCTGTTGAATTAAAACCTTTGGCGTTCAAACTTGGGGCAAGGGTTGTCTCTGTAGATGCTTTTTGACTTTCTAGTGAGTAATTATGAGCAGGAAGATCGTATTCAATAGGAAGTCTTTGGAAAGGTTTGAACTTGCCTTGGATGGAGCTTTGGGCACTGTTTGGTGCAGGATGCCAGTTACCTTGTCGCCGTTCTTGTGATGCTATAACCCCGATACCAACCCCAACATCTGCTAAGTGAGGTCTGTAACTGTTGTGATTCTGTTGAGGAGATGAATTACCTGTTCCCAAGAATTTGCTGCTTAAAACAGAGTCGTCATGGGGCTGTGGTTTTTTAGAACCAAGCTTGAGACGTCGATTATGGGCGTATCCTCTTGCTTGAGGCATCCCATTACTGTTATAGCGCCTTGGGATCCATGTTGGAGAAGATATCTGTTTGTCAACTTTACCCTCAAAGTTGCTTCCATGAGAATAACCCTTCACAATTGAGTCAGACTTTTCTATGGTTTTAAATCCTTTTCGCAGCATGTTTGTTCTTATTCTCTTTGGTATAGCATAAGCAGGTTGATATCCACTCACTTTAGCCATGGAAGAAAGATGATTTATTTCTGGGGTGAAGGGACACAGATTGGTTCTGGATGGGTTAAGATGACCTACTTGAGACATAGACTTCAGAGTTGACATGTCTTTTCTCTTCTTGGGATCAGGACCTATGGGAGTCCTGTCGACCGGAACAGGTGAGAAACCTCCTGGACGCTTGGCTCTGGCATGATCTGGTGCATACGCGGCGTTTGTTTGAACCCTCTTGGCATCAGGAAGTGGTAATGCTTTGTGTTTTGGATCATTGAGACTTCGCGTAGGATAAGAATAATGCCTTTGTATTTCTGGTGATTTAGAGCCATTAATATCATCTTGAGGATGGTAAATGTTGCCACTTTGTGCTCGATCAGCTAAAGATATTCTGCTTGCAGGCTCTTCACTCCAATTGTTGTCATTGTGGACACCGATAAGGGCCTGTCCCACCTGGACACGGACATAACCTATAGAAACAAAACACAGAAACTCTGTAAAGTTTGTTCTATACAGCAGGCAGCCAATCTTCAGTTACATTAAAAGTTTATTGCAGTAACAATTGCATTAAGTAAGTACCTCTCTGGGTATTCCAGCAATTTACATCACCAAGCACAAGCCAGAAACACAGGACAAGCACCCTACAAGGTAAATGGCAACATGTTAAAATCCACTTCTTCCAACAATTGATTAACTTCATTTACATAGCAGCAATCAAAGATAAAACTCAACAAGACAAATTACCTGAAACAATCCATAGTGATCTTCCTCTGCGACTGACCTCTTTGAAACTATCACCACAGGTCTGCTTAAGCCCTTATTTAAAAACTCAGGTGAACCCAGCTGTCCTTTGTTTTGGACTAATTGTTGCATGACCATGATGGCAGCAACACCCAAAGCTGCATTCAAGTGCTGCTCAGGTGGTCAGAGTTTCCGAGTTGGGAAGTCCTTCTTCCGACTTCAGTGTGTTCACGGGCTTTCAGTCCGGAAAGTAGGAATGTTGTAACGACAGCAGAAAACAGCATTTATGCAACTAAGAAGATCTGGGAGTGGTTAAAAGTTATATTTGAGCAAAAAGTTGATGTGCAATATGTGAATTAATAAAAAATATGTTAAAACTAACAAACATATTTTGCCCCCCAAATGTGATGACGATTCTGACATCTAGTCGGCAAGTCAGGCACCTAATTCTTTTTTCCGAGTTGTTGTTCAGATTTGAGCAGGTGTTCATGTGCATTTTACAACTCGGAAACTATTTTTTACGATGTATAACACCACATGAATGCACCATAAGAAGAAGAGGCTGTATGTTCTTCCCTAAACAATGCCAGTTTGAGGTCATTCCTCCTGTAACATGTCTTCTTGGGAGTTAAATTGTATTGTTTCTGTGTGTGATGGAATTAGCAGTAACAATAATAAGATCATAAGATACTGATTTGTATAGGAGCTATGTTTGTTTTGAATGGACTATGTTAAAGTACAAAATATTTAGTATGAAAAAATATTTCTCAAAGGAACCATCAGTCAGTTTGAAAGACATAAAAGAAATATGTTAAATAATATTCTCATCCCCCTCAAAAATATTATATTAATACATGAAGAAAAAGGGAAAGGAGTGTTCACCTGTAAAGTATGGGAAATGAATCTCTACGCTGAATGTGCATGTATGTGTGATCAAACTCATTAACTTGAGAAAAAGAATACCCTGGAATTATTTCTATCAGAACAATTAACCAAACATGACATTTCAGTTTCTCCTTTAACATCTTTCTAAAAGAGGGCTTTCTTTCTGCAGACATTCTGACTTGTCACATGCAGTATTATGAATCAGAATCAGAAATACTTTATTAATGTCAGGGGGAAATTCAGTAAGCTGTGCAGGTGTAACAAAAATATTTCTGACTGAGAATCTCTTCTTGAGATATTATAACTTATACCAGGACAATGAAACCAGAAATGTAATTCAGCCATTATTCATGTTATGTTCACCTGTGCTTTTCCGACTGTGACTTGTCCTGATCATCTGGTATCACAAAGGTCCATCAGAAGGGAGCATCATATATTTCAGTAGTACAAATATTGCAACAGAAAGCACAGTGTTTTGATTATGCTTTCTATGCAAATATATTTAAATCCCTTGTTTTAATGCAGAATTCAACTAAACAAATAAGCAGGTTCTTAAATGTAATTGACTATTCCAATATTTCTTCAGCAGCTTAAACATTAACATAAGACTATAAAACTCTGTTGCCTGGTCTTTGGTAACCTGTTACAATATGTCAGGTGCATGACACAGTGAAGGTGGTAGTAAGGTGTGAAAACCCATTCAGTCACAAGAGGGCGCTGCTGCATAAAGGAAATCAAGCAAGTTTATTTTAAATTCCAAGCGCTTTCAATGGGGAAATGAAATACATCAAAACAACAGAATCCAGAGAAGATAAACATTCAGTGATTGAAGCAGAAAAAAACAGCTATTGTAAATTTGAATTTAGCATCCTGAATTCAACACATTTTCTGTGGTGATTTACATGATGCTCTGGATATTTGACATGGCTAACACAATCTTAGGATATTGTTTCAAGAACATGTTTCGTCTTTGACAACAACAAAAAAAAAACATAGCACCAAAATAGCATCAATGGTTTTAAAAATTCATTATCACAAAACAACTGAGACACATTGGCTGTGGAACATTTTCTAGGTCCAACATGTAGCTTTATAAACATGTAAGTAAAACATCATCAGCAGTGTTAATTTGAAACTGCTCCCTTCATTACATAACTCTGTAAATTATAGTCATGTGTATGTCCTATGCATGGCATTATATCTGCTTTGTCAGAAATGAATAAACATGAACATTACTTGCAAAATGCGGTATCACAGCACAGATTTGTCTTTAGCTCTTAATATACCATAAATTGCAGATTTAGTAAAGCACATATTGACACAAGATACCATTGATAGTGATACATTTAAATATGTTTTTTCCCCAAACACAGTTAAATATCTATATTATTTTATAGAAGCGTAGAAATGTTACATAATGAATCTAGTATAGATTCAATAAAAGCATTTCCTTTAAGGCAGTTCAGTGCAATGTTTGAGAGCACACATGGTCATGAAAAAAGTCGGCAACAGTTCCCTGAAAAAATACAACAACTCCATTCAAAACCAAAGAGATTAAACTTGAACACAGAATAAATATGAAAACTTTAGCAGATTGAAAACAGTTCAGTTCTAGACAACCTTTGATTTTCTGACAGTTTCAGAAATCCTGAATAAATGAATGTAAAATGATCATGTGAGTATATGAACTTGTATTTTCAGAGTCGTCTCTGTAGCTGCTTAAATTACCTGAAATTAAAAAATATAAATATATTAACGTTTGGTTGACAGAGTTACAACTGAATGGCATTCTGAGAACTACAACCATTCAGGTTTTCTCTCTGATTAAACATGGAGTAGAGTGACCATTTCATTGGAAAACTTTGAGGCTGACGTACAAGGATATGTTAAAAAAAAAACCTTGTTTTAGAGAATGAATATACATATATGATATATATTTATCAAGGGACAGTGTGCAATGACATTGATCATTTATGCAAAGAAAAATGAAAACATGGTTGCACCAGATTTAGCGAGTCTCTTATTTCCATCTGTAGTCCCACATAAAAGTGAAATGAGACAAACAATAAAGAAACACACCTGACAACACTACATAATACAATGCTATAAACACTATGGAACAATGTATATCCTGCTCGGTACCAACATTTGAATACTGCAAAGGCGTAATGGGCAGACAAAGTGACCCCCCCCCACTAACAACAACTAAGACCTTAGAGTTTAATTAGAGTTGTGCAGGTAGTTACCACTCCTTTGTTTTATCAACTGTCACACTAGTTAAACGTGCATTAAGTCATCAGAGTTGGTGTAATTGAGTTCAATATGGGCATATTGCATACCAGGGAACAGTGCTTCAACATCCAGTGTTTATCTGGTACTACTTTGTCTCACCTAGGTGTATTTCTTGCTCTCTCTTATTTCTCTGCACTCTTTCCCACAGCCATGATGTCTTTGTGCTCCAGGATCTCCGCCTTCTGCTCCGGTTGAAGCACAGTGTTTGACACCATAGCTTTGGCCACCACTTGGATTGGGATGGCCATGGACGTGGAGCACACAGACGTGAAGCCGTTCAAGAATTTCCTGGCCAGCCACTCGGTAGGCCGACTCTCCTGCCTGTCGACCAACAGAACCCTGTTGGAGAAAAAGCACAGAGGTATTGACAGTATGAAGACTGTATTGGCTTTCATCAGATCATTAGAAATCAATCTACCGCCTTATAAACAGATCTGACGTTATTTTACTTTCTTCACGGGAGAAATTTACAACGTTGATTCTAAATGTGACAGACCAGATTTCCTTTGGTTGAGTACTAGCACGTTGTTTTGTGTAAAAATTGTGCAATCACGTGTTCTATGATCTTTAACACAGTAAAAAGTTAACCATGTAAAGATTTAACATTTGGTTACATGGGAGTTTCACACTAAAATCTTATAATCCATCCATAATCCTGTCTGGATTAACTCTGCTGGTTCCACTGGTTTTGCCTAGTGTTGTAGTCAAGACCACACCAACAGACTGAGACATAGACATTACCAGAGTGCTCCGAGACCGAGACAAGACCAAGACCATAAATATCTCTGAAAATCATCATGTTGTGTTCAGGGGGCGAGTCACTCACTCAGACCGTAACACCGGGAAGGTTGCTGCCAGTCTTGATTTAAAATCCAGAGTCCGCCCAGTCTGAGACCGAGACAAGCTCGAGTCAAAACGCTTTCGACCCTGAGACGAGACCAAATCCTTCAAAAAGGGGCCTCAAGACCGATTTCGAGAACTACAAAACCAGGTTTTGCCCTTCAACAGGTTTCCAGATGAATGTACCCTTTTCTTTTTTTTATTACTAAGCTTCTCAAGGGGAATCCTGAAAAAGACAAATACCAGGAAATAGTTCTAACAGATCCTCTTAAAGTCACAATCGTTTAGGTCAGATCATTCTGAATACAACAACCTCAGGTCAACAAAGTGGGTCAGTTCAGCAGCTAATTTTACAATGTCAATTGTTACATTAATGATTAATGAGTCTGGATTCTACACCACACCTACTCAAACAAGCACAGTCTGGCTATCTATGGCCACTGCAGGTGCATTTTTAGAACTAATCTCATCATCAATCCATTTGGCATACTTAATTACTGATAGTATAAACTTTGATCTAAATCTAAATGCTGCATATTTTTCTTGTACTTCCTTAAATTTTAAAAGTAAAGCTTGACTGTAATCAATCTATTCTGGGTTTTTTGTTGACATAATAGCTATTTGCCTGCTCTTAAAACCAAAGATTATTGCAAATTTTTTCATGAGTTGTTCAAAGTATCCATCACCAGCCATTCATTCAGCTTTCAGTCTTTAAGATAATAACTTTGATGCTTGGATATTGCTGACAACACAAGCCATTATGGATACATGCTCAGCCTCCCTGTGAATACAAACCACCAGAATAAACTATCACATTCCAATGTGCACCGGGGTAAATTTCCTGTTGCACTTTGAAATAACAATAATAAGTCTAAAGCCGGAAAGGAGGAATCACAATATGAACTAAAGAGCGAAGAACAACATACTGATGAACAGGAAACGTAATGCAGCCGCTTAATTACACGTTTAGCGATCTTAGGCAGACAGTCAATGCACTGAAACCAGTCACAGTATATAAACTCACTCCCCCCTCCCCATTGGCTCAAGCCGAATTCTCCTGAAATATCCTGCGGCGTTCTCACTTCAGCCCACTCGGACTTGCAGCAGAAAAAATACGTCTGGGGTCTGGCAGGAGAAACTCCAGGTGAAGTCCTAGTGAAAATTTGGGCAGTTTGCGTTCACACATACAGCTCAGCCTGGAAATATCAGGAGATTTTCAGGAGTTTTCTGCAAGTGTGATGGTCCTATAACAATTTACTGCAGTTCAGTACAAGAGGAGGCTTGTTTTCAGGCATGTCTGAAGAAATATTTAAACTATAGAAAACTTCTATTCCAAAAACAGTTTTCTTTTTTTAAGTTTGAGGACAATTTATTTTGTGTCTTAAAGTAACGGTGGTGAATGTCGAGTAAATTAGTGAACGAGGTGAATGAGATAACTCACCCTGGTCGATAAACGGAATATCGGTCAAAACCCAGTGCTTCAATTTCTGCTTCCACTTGACCCTGAAGGAAAAGAATCAGTTTCACATTTATCTATCAGTGACCGTCCATGTTGTCATTAAATATTACGAAAGAGTAAGGAGTGTAGTATGTCATAAACAATAGATAAAATAAATAAAATACCTTGACTTTAAGGTAGAGGAAGCTGCTTTTTTTATCAGCTCCTCTGGAGGACTGAAGGTGGAACTGAGAGCAGCCTCCTGCCTTTGCGAGCTCGGCTGATTTTACAGTGTAGTCGTGATCAACACGGATAAATCCTTCCTGAAATAAAGAAGGAAAGTGATGGAAAATGTCAAAATTCACATGGTCAGGATCAAAATATTCAGCTTCCTCTTGAGAGCAAATAATCAACGTTCTTACAATTATAGAAATAGTCCATCTACATTGTAATTCCAAACTGCTCTCATGATCATTTTGTACAACAAAAAAAACACAAAATGTGATTAGAGATCTTTGATAAGGAACCCCTTTATTAGACGCCACATCAGAAGCCCGTTCTTTTATGAGTTGTGGGCAAGCTGGGTCAAGAGCAGGATATTTTACAATCTGCCAAACTTGACACAGCTCAGACGGCCAAGCTTCTGTGTAAATTGCTATTTCTGAATCCTATGAAAAGAAATTCAATCCAGTCAGTTTCTGCTTCTTACTGGCCTACGTCTAAAGCTTTACCACCATTGTTGGGATAAGATCGTATTTGCAAATGCATTGGCTAAACTGATTATTCAGACCAGCTCAACGGGAAATGTGAGTAGCCGACATGATAAAGAAATTGCTGAGTCATTGCTACATTGCTCAACTTCATCTAATCCAAACAGATATTTTAAACTTTGTAGTTTTGTATCGCCCTACAACAGTGAAATCTTAATAAATGCACCATAAAAAAATTGCATTAGGTAAATAAATCTGATCTTACAGTTCCTGATTTTGCCTTGGTTGTTCCCAGGCAGCAGTATCCAACATCATGGCCCTGGAAGGCGGCAGCATAATCATCAAGCTTCTCAAAGTCCACCACCTCTTGTACCTGGAAAGATAAATCAAAAGAACACAGCCGGTATCAAGTCAAATGTCACTGAAGCAACAATGCATCACAGGTAAATCGAGAGTAACCCCTCTCACCAATTGTTCATTGGCTTTGCCCTCAAAGGTGAGCTGTCTCCTTCCGATGAGAGTGATCTTAGAGAAGATGTTTCGCTCCAGCAGCTCTTGAACCAGCACCTTTCCAGTTTCCCCAGAGGCGCCGAGGATGAAGCAGCTTTTATTTTGCTGCCTGAAGTTTTCCTCCAGAGTCTTTATGTCCTCAGCCATGCTGTGTGCCAACAAAACAACAACAACAAAAAACAGGTGTCTTAAGCCCAGGCAATGCTAAAATCAGACAGGTGTTTGCATGCAGGCAATAAATACAATTATGTACCAGGCTGTGATCACCTGGGTTACAGATGTTATGAAAACGTGACATTCAATACGGTTATATTCAGGTGAGGACTTCTGTGTTATTGCATAAGTATGTTTACATTTGCTTCCCTACAAAGCACACACCGGTGTTTTAAAGATTAGGATCATAAAAGCGAACATTACATGACGATGGTTGATATTTTCGCATTTTAGCTTCGTCACATTTTGTGAAGATAATCAGTTAAATTAAAGTATGAATGTTGCCGAGCACGGAAATGACCTCCGCTGTTATTTAGTCCTACCTGATGTATTTATCCGTCTCAGGGTCGTCGAAATACGTCAAAACGGCGGCAATGACAACAATGAGGACAGTAAAGAACCCTGTCAGTTTTCCAAGGGTGGTACACAGCTGTTTCATAACAGGAACGGCGAGCAGAAACGTCTGATTACTATCTCGCTGGGACACTTCCTGGTTACTTCGTCTCTATGGACAGCGCTCACTTCCTGTTTCGGGATGGACCCGGGACGGGGGACTGTTTCCTTGACAACGCTTAGTTTGACAGACGGAAACAATTAAGGGCAAAACGTTTATTTTTGTGCTTGAGTGTATTTGATAAGACATGGTTGTAACCCGTCCAGCACCAAAGAGACGTCAAGTTTAGATTTCCTCAAGCCCGTCTCATCCTCTGTTTCCACCGCGCACAGAGCTTAATTTACTGCGCATGCGCAGTTTGTATTTGGAGCCCATGAGAGAATCCCCACAATATTCAGGATATTTATTTCTTAACCTGAACAACAAAATTAGAGTCCATCTGTTTAACTAAATTACTTTATTTTGAGCCACCCTGTAGTGATCTGTTAATCTAGTTTATTAGAGGTTTTATATTAATCTTCTTATTGCTTGTTAAAGCTGCAGAATGAATATTTTATAGCTAATGAAGACATTCTAAAACTATAGAAACATTTTAATGTACGCATATAAACTTTTTTTTCCCTCCTGGCACGCTCAAATACAGATTGTTAAGCCAAAATGTTAATAGATATGAATGGAACACATTCCTAAGTGAAGATTTCCATGCTTTATTTGTTAATTTGTAAACATTTTGTAAATACTTACATGCAAAAGTCCTGTGCTCATCATTAGACTTGAAGAAGCAGAGTGGAATTTTCTGGCACAACTGCACCAACTAACAAGGGGACTAAAGAGTGAAAGGCTTGAAGCATTTTGACCTCTTCATCATTGCACTTTAAAGTAAAAACTATCAAAAATCAATCTTATTCATTGTTGTTGCTCAGTTCGTCTCTATCGTTCTCCCTCTCCCTACATCTCCCTCTATGCCACTTCCCAAGCCCATCACAGTTTTAGCAGATGGATGTTCAACATGAGTCTGGTTTTGGTCAAGGTTTCTGCCTCTTAAAGGTAGTTTTTTCTTGCCACTGTAACTTTGCTAAATGTTGCTTCGTGCTCATGATGGATTAATGGTTGGTCTTTGTAGATAATGAGTATACAGTCTTGTACCTGCTCTTTTGTAAAGTGTCTTGAGATAATATTTGTTACATACTGGCACTAAACAAATACAGATTGATTGATTGATTGATAGTTGCATGAAAAATACATTTGAAATATAGAAAGTTAAGGTACCAATTATGCAGAACGGCCCATATAGTATATTGTATACGTCTATCATAAAATTAGAATTACATCATCACAAATGGTACCGCTTCAAAGCTGTTCTAGTTACAGAACAAAAACTGTAAATTGATGGATATCCGTTGCTGACTCCAAAATTTAAAAAGGTCCTTCTTTTAAAGGTTGGTCCTCTGCTTTTAAAATACCTCCTTTAGACTCAACAAACCCTTATTGACAATTTACCTGTGATAACCCACAGGTTGACCAACAAATATCTTTTGATATACATTTTTGTAAAGGCAAATGAAGGAGATTCATCCTGATATTGAATTTTGCCTATTTAGCTTTAAATTAAACCTTATCTGTCCCAATAACTTTAAAAGTTTTTCCAGATGGCACCATTTGTATGTAATTTGCTCAGAAAAGAAAAAACATGTCTTTGCCTTTTGTCAGACCTTCAGGGGTTTCATTAGCCAAAACCTCCACACAAAGAAAGCAAGTCCAGTCACATGCAATGAATTCATCAACACCCCATGTTTTTAACACCCTGCCACTTGGAACACAAGGCATCGACCCAATTTAATAGAATATGATGGAGCCAGGGATGATCCTGTAAAGATGTCAGCAGTAAGAGACAGAAAGAAAAGAGGGCGAGGTGGAGAGGAGAGGTCTTAAACTGGCACTCTGCTGAAATGAAATGTCGCCTCTTTGTTCCTTAGCCGCGGGTGCTAATTGGGCCAAGCTGTGGGGAGGAAAGCTGCTGCTGGGCTCCTGTCTGTCGCACCTGTTGAGTCATTGTCTCTCACATTGATCAGACAGGAAGTTGGAGTAAGAAGGCTTATGCCTCCGTGGGTGCGTGGCAGAAACGTGGTTCAATTTGCTTTTAGAGCTCCGCTCCTGGAGGTGGAAATACCAATGGTGGTCAATGGGTTTTTCCATTGATTAGCTCGCACTAAAGGACGTATGGATCATAAAGAGTGGGTTTGTTCACCTTCTTTAAGCCTCAGTCACAGCTTCTCCTGCGTTTCCTCAGGATTGCATAATATGTTTGATGCCCCTGTCACTGCTAATCTGCCACACTTCACCTGAAGTCCTATTCAGACAGGATTAGCTTTTAGAGCATTGGATTGATGAATGACTGATGTAGTAATGCATTGATTTAGGTCTTTGAAGTCTATATTTCCCATCTGTACTGACAAACACTGATGTGTTTTTGTAAGATTTCAACTGCAGATGTAAACGAAAAGTCAGGAAGCCCAACACTGACAATGCTCTTTAACATTTGCACATATGCTAAAGCCAGGAGAATTCAAATATATTTAGGCATCTTAATGGACAATCCCTGCAGAGAGCTTTGCACGATTACAGAATTAACATGAATGCTTTGTCACACCAGAAATGTAACATGTAGGCCTACTTATTCTGCAGTCAGGAACTCCCAAACAATTATCCTGCCTTATAGGCGGTATAGGCGGCTGTAGCTGAGTCTGCAGGGACTTGGGTTGGGACCCAGATTTTCACTGGTTCAGGTCCCAGTACAGACCAGGATATAGAAGTTGGTCTGGTAGCTGGAGAGGTTCCAAGGCACTTCCCGAGCCCTGTTGATGTGCCCTTGAGCAAGGCACTGAACCCTCAACCGCTCTGGTGCTCTCCCTGCGCATCAGTGTGTAGCAGCCCACTCTGACATCTCTCCACTAATACATGTCCACAGATCCTGTTTGTGCATGTGTGTATGTGGCCTATGTGTGTGTGAGAAGCATGTCTCTCAATGTGTGAGTGTAAACCAGAAGGTTATAAAAGGATTGTAGGCTGGGTCACAGGGTTTAGGGATTGACACTTTCTTGATATTTGTAACTAACTGGAATCAAGGATGTGAACCATGAATGTGAAACTACGTATTCATTTATTTTCTAAAGACAGATGCAACTGCTTCCAAATTTGTGCTTTATCCCAACTCTTTCTGACCTTTATTTTCTCATAATGTAGTCTATAGTAGACTCTTTCTTGAATGATGGTTAATGTTCCAATTCATATTTTTTGTCATCAAAGAGTGTTATGAGCGCATGTTCATTCGCCCCATGTACAGAGGCTGCGGCCCTGCGTTCAAATCCAAACTCCACCCTTTGCTCACTCTCTCCTCCCAACACTTCCTGTCTCTCATCACCTGTGAATGAAATCTGTCGATGAAGGCAAAAATGTTCCAAAAATATCCTGAAGAAAAAAATGGATTAGATTTGAATTTCCTTTTAGCAAATGATGAAAGATTTAAAATAACATATAAATGATGAAATGAGAGAAACAATCTTAATCATAAATGGATGTTCTATATCATACTTAGTTCTTCCTGCTTTGCTACACGTACTTTTACCTTTATCACTGGCATTGTAGCTATGAATCTTATTCATTGTTGTTCCATCTCATTCTTTCTGCATCTCCTTCTGTCCCCTCTCAGCCCCGTCACACTTTAGACAGATGGCTTCATCATGAGTCTGGTTCTGCTCCAGGTTTCTGCCTCTTAAACACGTTTTGTCCTGCTTTGCTAAATGTTTCTTAGTGCTCATGGTGGATTAATGTCAGGTCTTTGTAAATAATATAACAGAGAATGCCTATACCTGCTATAACATTTGTTTTGAATTGGCGCTATACAAGTAATGATCGATTGATTGATTGAAATCGGAAGATGGTGAAAACATTTGAAATGAAACTACAGAAAATATTCATAAAACAGTTCTGAATAGGATCTGAAGAATATTTCCACACATGTAAACAATATGTAGCCTATCATGTAAGTTTCTGCTCCAAATTATATATATGCATTTAGTATTTCCTCTAACCTGAAGCTGATAGAAAATAAAATTACTACTATGACAGATAAGATAGAAAAAATCATCTTCATTTTTTATTTATTTAACCAGGTTTGTCCCATTGAGATAACAACTTCTTTATATGGAGACCTGGCAAATCTATACAAATGGGACTTCAAGCCTATTTCTATATCTAAAAAAAAAACACATGTAGATGCATGCCTCAAACACACACACCCACACAGACACACACACACTCATGCTGTACACAAACCCAGCTTAAGGCTTAGACCCCCGGTTCCACAGACTCTGGAGTGTGATGCTAATGATGGAAATTAATGGAGCCTGACAGCACAATCTGCTGCCCATTGTCTCCCAATAAACAGCTTTACAGTCCACATGAGGCACAGAGGGGACGGAGGTTTAATCTGAGAGCGGAGCCGGTGAGAGCAGGAGACACACAGGGTGGAGGGTCAGACCTCAGGGGGACAACACAGATCCTGAAGTGGGGATTAGCTCAATTAGAGAGGCACTGTCTGATCAAGATGCAGGTTCAATGGTACCTATGATGTGTGTGTGTGTGTGTGTGTGTGTGTGTGTTATGAGTGATCCCCCATCATTAGAGCCGACTGTTGCCGTCATGTGTTGCTGTGTCTGTTGATGCAGCTGGTGTGAACAATAGTCAAGATGATGCCTTTTGCCTTGCCGTGACCCTCTGAACAGATATCCATTTATTGTCATACATATCAATGGTAATTAATCTGCAATGTGTTTTATCGTCCAAATGATGACAGTTCCATGAATATTTCAGTGTGTTTGTATAGTTAACTTGTTACTGCTCAGTTTCATCAGCACAAATAGACATGATTTAGTTTCACTTATTCTATTTTTATAATTTTCGCATTTTCACAAATATAACAACGTTTTTCAGCATGTTAGAGCAGCCACTGTTATGATTTTGTATTTTCAGAGTTTAGATTTCTGAACTTGTTTTAGTAGTTCCCATGTGTGTTATCTTAATGTTAGTCTTTAGTGTTCTTATTTTGTATTT